CTAACCTCAGTAGAGTAGTGACGAGATCAGGTCAGGCCCTACTGGAAAATAAATAATGGCATGGTAAAATATTTAACAATATAATAAGATAAAATGACAATGGAAATGAATCAAGTAGTATGTCACCATTTAATTACACCAAATAATGGCAATTTATACCTCGTGAAAACAAAACAGAATTCTTTTCAACTTTAAGAAAATCACAACAATAATCAAGGCAACTGCGGCCATAAATCAATATCAACAAGGGCACTCCCGAGGTACCGCCTCGTAGTCCCAAATCATAAATAATTTCACAATATCTCATTTTTTTATATCAATGCGGGAGCCTTCACAATTTATTTTAAAGAAAATATTTTTTCCCGAAATAGCACCCCGCATTTTACTCATCCTTATCACACTGCATGAATTATAGTAGTTTCCCCTACTAGCCACGCATATCAAGCCACCCTTATCTCACCGCATGCGTTTCAACACCCAAACCTTATACCACCGCATGCGTATCAATATCACAATATATCACAATTTGTACCTCAAGTGCCCAAATATTTTAATTTTCCAAAATAAATCAACAACAGTATTTTTCCATAATAAAGAGCTCACGACAATAATTCATGATAATATTTTTCTACAATAAAGAGCTCACGGTTCCATCACAATTAGTACAAAAATCTCACAAAATATTCAGCAAATATAATAATTCACAAATTTACTACCTTGTTTAGAATATCAAATTTTTAAATGTAAAATACTTCATTTTTAATAATATTTGAAATTAAAGAAATTCCACCTTTAATTAATACACTGAATAAAAGAAATCAAGTTTTAGCTAACAGGTAAAAATAATTAGCAGGAGAAGGTCAAGCCAATTTAAAGTATATAAATCAAATCAATGATGGAGAATATAACAAGATTTAATAATTTAATTAATATGCAACAGTGATCTACACAATTTAAAAATATAATCTTTCGTATTTAGCCCGTGTAAACACTCGTCACCTCGTGTACACGACTTTCATTACATTACAGTTATCACATTAATACCAATCCTAGGGGAATTTCCCCACACAAGGTTAGACAAGTCACTCACCTCGAATTGCTCCCATTTAACCAAGTAGTACGCGTTTTCCTCGATTTTCCGACTTCGGTCGACTCGAATCTAGTCATAATTAATTCAATACAGTCAACAAAACTTATAGAATCAATTTCATAAGAAAATACTACATTTTTCAATAAAATCCGAAATAAACTCAAAACTTGCCTGTGGGGCCCACGTCTAGGAATCCGGCGAACGTTATGAAATATGAACGCCCGTTCAACCACGAATCTAACCATACCAAAAAGACTAAATTCCATTAATAATTCGACCCTCAAATCTATCCAAGAGAGTTTTTAAATTTTTCCAACTTAAATCACCAATTAATTGTTAAAACAATGATAGATTCAGGTAATCTAACCAAGATTGAGTTAAGAACACTTACCCCGATGTTTTCTCTGAAAATCTCCCAAAAATCGCTTCAATACGAGCTCCAAATCGTTAAAAATGGAAAATGGGACGAAGTCCCATTTTCAGAACTTAAACTCTCTACCCAGGCTTTTACTCTTCGCGATCACGAACATCCACACGCGATCGCGAAGCACAAATTTCCACTGCCCAAATTTAACTCTATGCGATTGCGGATATCCCCACGCGATCACATAGAGGAAACGCGTGACCTCCACTTCTGCTCCATTACTCTACGCAAACGCGACCTTCTTCACGCGTTCGCGAGTCACAAAATCTCAAAGCTACACGATCACATCCCGCTTCACACGATCGCGAAGCACAAAACTCAGTAGCCCTCAATTAACCTTACGCGATCGCAAACAATGCCATGCGATCGCGATGCACAGACAAGCCCAACCTACGCGGTCACGGTTGACCTCACGCGATCACGAAGAAAAAAATAACACTGTCTCAACTAAGCCTACGCGATTACGTCCCAATCTTTGCGATCGCGAAGAAGGTTTAAAATACCAGAAATCAGCAGCTACCAGCAGTGCCAAAATGAAGGAAAATACTCTGAATACCATCCGAAACAGGCCCGAGCCCCTCGGGACCTCAACCAAATATATCAACAAGTCCTAAAACATCATACGGACTTAGTCGAGTCTTCAAATCACATCCAACAATACTAAAAACATGAATCACGCATAGATTCAAGCCTAATGAACTTTGAAACTTTCAATTTCTACAAATGACGCAGGAACCTATCAAATCAAGTCCGATTGACCTTAAATTTTGCATGCAAGTCATAAATGACCTAACGGAGCTATGAAAATTTTCAGAACTGGATTTTGACCCTGTTATCAAAAAGTCAACTCCCCGGTCAAACTTCCAAACTTAAATTCCTATTTTAGCCATATCAAGCATAATTTAACTACGGGCCTACAATTAATTTTACGGACACGTTCCTAAGTCCAAAATCACCATACGGAGCTATTGGAATCATCAAAATTTTATTTCAGGGTCGTTTACACATAGGTCGACATCCAGCCTACCTTTTCAACTTAAGCTTTAAACTTTTTAATTAAGTGTTCCAACTTATTCTAAAAATCACATCGGACCTGAAATAATTGCCCCGGCAAGTCATATAACAATTATAAAATAGAATGAGCATTAAATAAGGGAACGGGGCTATAACTTTTAAAATGATTGGCCGGGTCGTTACAATTTTCAAAAAGGTAAGTATCTTGCCTAACCTCGAGTGGAGAAAATTACCCTGAAGCATTGAGTATTATGTGTAAACTGTGTAATTGAAAATCATGTACGTGAGGTGAAGTGTACATACTTGGTTTATATGTACAAATTTCATTGATTAAAATCCTTAGACGCCCTTAGGTATTAAATTGGAAATTATTGGCACTTATGAAATTCTCTATTTGTCATGCCTAGATCCTTGTTTGTTGAAATTGTTTTATACAATGATGTGGTGTGATTGCCACCTTGATTCTATGTGAAATATTATTTTATTGAGCTGTTCACTCCCGGATATTTTTGTTAAGATTTTTTGCACATTATGATCGATCCATGGGATCTTTATTGTGAAAAATAATATATTGTTGATTTTTGTGGCAAGTAGTAATGTTTGAGCACTTGACGTGCAATCTGTGATAAGTTGTAATATTTGAGCACTTGATGTGCAATCTGTGATAAGTTGTAATATTTGAGTACTTGAGGTGCAATTTATGAGATGTGATATTGGCATGTTATATTGTTGGAANTATATATATATATATGTGGATTTGCACATGTAGCGAGACAAGGTGGGAACATTGTTATGCATGTGTGACAAGACAAGGCGGGCATTTACTTTACTATTGCACACGTGGCGAGACAAGGTGAGCTATGTCGAGGGTTGATTTGTGATGGCCCGGGGGCATTGTTGTTGTTGCATATTTATTTTTGGGACTGCGAGGTTGTACCTCGGGAGATCCCCTGTTGAGCATTTACTTTGGGACAATGGTTGCACTTGCCATTGGTTATTTTATTTTTTCGTGATATGTAAATTCTTGTGTTCTTCCGTGATGTATTATTTGATTTTATTACGTGTTTTTTATTCCTTGTTGTACTGTGATGGTTCTGGCTCTTTGTACAAGACTCTAAGAATTTGCTATTATATTTTTTAATTAATAATGTTTACACCCAAACTAGTAGTCATCGGATGCTTCATGTTAATTGAAATATCATTTTCTTCACCCAAATGAGTTTAAAAAAATAAACTCATTTCTTTGATAATTTCTTACTTGATTTAAAAATTATAAACTTACTTTATTGAAAATAAATTGATCCTGCGGATCTTATATATATTGATATTTTGGTATGTGAGTTGTCTGTATAGTTATGAAAGAAATATAAGCATGAGGTACCGGGGAAAATATGATGATTTTATTATTGACATGTGAGTTGTCCGTGTGGTTGTGATAGAAATAGGGGCATGAGGTATCGTGAAAAATATGAAAGTGGGCCGAGACCCGTAATTTTTATGATTGTGAAATGAGATGTCACATGGTGACTTTTACTTGAAAATATATTTATTTGAAAGAAGTATATTCGAAAAATATTTATTCAAAAGAAGTATATTCGAAAGATATTTGTCTTAAAGAATAATATGTGAAGGAATTATATTTGAAGGACTTGATTAATTGATTGTACCTGTGTTCCTTATTCGTCTGAGCAATAATTATGATGTTCTTGTTGCCTTGATGTTATGCCACTAGTTGATTTTGTTGTTATCATTGTTAGTTGTTTTTCCAGTACTATTGCATACTACTATATTGCACAGGTTAGTTGACTAGTGAGTATCTTGACTGTACCTCGTCACTACTCAACTGAGATTAGTCTTGATACTTACTGGGTACTGACTGTGGTGTACTCATACTACACTTTTGTACATTTTTGTGCAGAGCCAGGTAATGTGGAATCATTTGACTGCTCACTAGCAGTATGGATTTTGCTGTAGAGATTCAAAGCAAACCTGTTGCTGCGTTCGAAGGTTTTGGAGTCACCTTCTGATATTATACTTGAATTGTTTTATCTCTATTTCAAAACAGTTGTATTTGTAGGCTTTCTAGTAATTCAGTAAAGCTTATGACTTGTACTACCAGTTTTGGATATTGTAAATTTTATGGAGGTTTCCATTTCAAAGATTGTTAAATGTTATTAAATTATTATTGTTATTAAATAAATTTTAGGCTTACCTAGTCCCTAAGACTAGGTGCCATCACGATATCCAATGGAGAGAAAATTGGGTCGTGACAAGTTTGTATTAGAGCTCTAGGTTCATGGGTGCTACGAGTCATAAGCGAGTTTAGTAGGGTCTTTCGGATCGGTACAGAGACATTTATACTTATCTTTGAGAGGCTACGGAACTATTAGGACAGTTTCACTTCCTTCATTCCTATCGTGCGAGTTTATTGATCTCGAAGTTCGAAGCTTTTAATATTCCATTCTATCACAGATGGTGAGGACACGAGTTGCAGTTACTGATGACGTTACCCCCGGAGCAGGTGTCTCTAGGGGCAGAGGTAGAGGCCGAAGAGGAACACACGCCGCAACTAGAGAATTTGCTCGAGCAGCAGTTGAGAAGCCGCCAGTAGCTCCGGTTGGGGGCAGGTACCGGAGGCGCCTGCTGTTACCCCTGGACTTCAGGAGACCTTAGCATAGTTCCTGAGCATGTTTGGTACATTAACTCATGCGGGATTGATCCCTGTTGCACCAAATATTTCACAGATTAGGGGAGTAACTCAGACTCCTACTTCTCGTACTCCAGAGTAATAGGTTTATATTGATTAGGTTCCGGACGTAGTACCGGTACATCATGTTATTCCGGTTCAGCCTGAGGTTAGGCCAAAGGCATCTGAAGAAGAACAAAAGAGACTTGAGAGATTTAAGAGGTATAGTTCACCTACCTTCAGTGGCACAACTATCGAGGATTCCCGGGGATTTCTAGAAATATGTCACAGAATTCTCCGCAATATGGGTATGGTGGAAGTGAGCGGAGTTGCCTTTACTAAATTTTAGTTGTCAGGAGCAGCGTATCAATGGTGACACGTTTATGAAGAAGGTAGACCAGCCGATGCCATACCACCAACTTGGGCTTATTTTTCGGAGATGTTTTTGAAAGAGTTTGTTCCCCAGACTCTCCGGGAAGCATGACACACAGAGTTTGAATGGTTGCGTCAGGGCACCATGATAGTGTCAGAATATGCTATCAGGTTCAGTGAATTAGCCGACATGCACCTATCTTGGTTCCTACAGTTAGAGAGCGGGCCTGCAAATTCATTGAAGGGCTCGATTATGATTTTAAAATATGTATGGCTCGAGAGTTTCAGACTGACATTTCCATTTTAGCAAGTAATAGAAACTGCCAGGATGTTAGAACATGTTCGAAGTGAGGAGAAGGAGTCTAAGGAGGCTAGAAGGTCTCGGAACTCTGGAGGATTTAGTAGATTCTACCCTGCAGTTATGACTCATCATGGCAGAGGCTCGGGCAGTCGGTCAGTCTAGTCCGCAATTTAGATTACTCATAGTGCTCCAGTTAATACTTTTAGTGCACCACCGGCACAAGATTCTTAAAGTGGTTATTTCAGTTATCCGGCACAGACTCAGCAAGAGCAGCCGCTACCTCAGATAGGTTGTTATGAGTGTGGTGATACTAGGCACATTATGAGAGATTGTCCCGTACTTGGGAGAGGCGAATTTCATTAAAAACTCTCAGGCTACAGGCTTTATGCTAGTTAATATTCCACGTGCATCCAGTTAAAGGTACAGGACTGGTGTGTAGAGGGAGCCCTAGAGGGGGAGGCCCATCCCGTCGATATATTTGCTATGGTATGGCTGAGGCCACTACACCAGATGGTGTCTTTACATGTACGATCCCGATTTGTTATAAAAGGATATTTTTTTTCTTAATTTGATTCGGTTATGAATATTGAGGCGAGTCCTCCTATTATGCTCCGCTTATGGGTGAGGTTCGTAATTTTGACCCACTTATATATTTATCCCTTGTTGGGAGATTTGAAGATGTGAGCCCGTGTCTGTCATTTTTATTTTTGTGCACCATTGAGGGCTATAAATCCAAAGTAAATATTTGTTTATTCACTACAGTGGGTTTTGATGTGTTTCGAAAAAATTAATTCCAATTTTATGAATTATATGCTCTACCGGTATGAGGGTTCATTATGCGTTGTGAAAACTATTTACGAAATATATTGAAAAGAAGAAAGAAAGGAAATGTTGAATTTCAGTTGGCACAATGTGCAAAATACGTGTGATTCGGAGTTGAGGATGAGATCCTTGCATTTTTATATATGATGTGAAATATTTAAACCGGGCTACAAGCCGCGGTCGAAGTTATATAAGGACGAGGTCCTTGTGGTGAAATATTTATGAGTTTAAATTCTGCCTTTGTGAAATTTAATTTGTACTATATTACTAATAGGGAGTCATGCCTGAGAGGCTTAGGTGATAATTCTTTTATGTGTTTTTGTGCTGTAATTATTGAGTTTTAGCCTACGAGGTGAGTGCCCAGGTGGCGTTAAATATGACTCGTTAAGTCGGGTAAATAGTTATGAGGTCTTCATGCCTCACATTCTGTGGTCAGTGTTGAAAAAAAAATTCAAAATGAGGTTTTGGTTAATATGAGTTTAATTGATGATGCTAGAATTAATTATGAACAACTTTTAAGACCAGAGATACGGTGATGAGCATACATATGATGTGCTTCATGTCCTGATATCATTATGATAACGCAGTGCTTGAAATGCTGAGATTGGTGTTACTGATATATACATTGTGGTGCTTTGTTGGGTTATGGATGTATTGTTAGGAGTTGTTTTGGTATTACTCTGGCAGGTGGATAGGCCCAATTACAGGGGAGACTCTGCCGAAATTTTTAAAAAACTTTTGGGAGTTAGTAAAATTTGGGAGATTGAGACGTGCAAAAGAAGAGATAAGTTATGTTATGTGTTTGAGGGCGAGTGATCCTAGGCGGGGGAGAATGTAACACCCCGGGAAAAAAAATTCGAAGTACTTTAACACTATCAAAAAAGTTAATGTGTGTGTAGGCACGAGTTGCTATAGCCAGTTGAGCCTAATACCGTGCATTGATGTGAAAATCAAGCCCTTTGAAAATGTTTGGAATGTAAGAAATTAGTTTTAAGGTTTATGAGTATGGATAAAAGATATAATCTCAACTGAGATGGCGTTGTCGGATCCATGTTACATTTGAGGTGAAGTAGAATCACCTGCGAGTATGTGTGTAAAACTACACTCAGTAATTTAATGTCCTCAGAATAATTCTTAGCACATTCGAGGACGAACGTATGTTTAAGAGGGGGAGAATGTAACGACCCAACTTGTCATTTTAATAATTAATGCCCCGTTCAGCAACTTAAGGTCTCGAGCAGCTTTGTAATATGTGTTATGACCCGCGTGTGTGGTCGAATATGATATTCGTAAATTTCGGAATTTAATTAAAAGAATAATTCTTATTTTTGAAGCTTAAAATGAAATGAGTTGACCGAAGTTTTGAATTTTGAGGAAACGACTCCGGAATGGAATTTTGATGATGTCAATAGCTTCGTATGGTGATTTCGGACTTAGGCGTATGTCCCGATTTGGATTAGAAAGTCTGTATGGCAATTCAACGCATTTTGGCGAAAGTTGAAAAATAGAAGATTTTTGAAGAGTTCGATCGAAGGTTAAATTTTTTATAATAAGGTTGGATTTACATTCCGAAAATTGGAACAACTCTGTTATGTCATTTATGACTTGTGTGCAAAATTTGAGGTCAATCGGACTTGATTGGATAGGTTTCGACATCGGATGTAGAAGTTGGAATATCCTAGTTTCTTTAAGCTTGAATTGGGGCATGATTCATGGTTTTAGCATTGTTTGAGGTGATTTGAGGGTTCGACTAAGTTTGTATGATGTTACGGGACTTGACGGTTTGTTTGGTTGAGGTTCCAGGGGCCTCGGGTGAGTTTCAGAAGGTTAACGGATGAATTTTTGGACTTGAAACTTTGATGGTTTGCTGGTTTTGATGTTGTTCTTTGCGAATGCGAAGGGACTCACGCGTTCGCGAAGAAGGAAGTTGAGGGGGGCAGCTGATTTCTCTACGTGAACTCGAAGAGAGGAACGCGAACACATAGGTGAACCATGCAGGGATTCGCGAACGCGGAGGCCCAACCGCAAACACGAAGAGGAAAATATGGGAAATGGGGCAGAAGGCCTTTGGTCTATGCGAACGCGGTAAGGGAATCGCGAACGCGGAGAGTTGGGGAAACGACCCATCGCGAACGCGACGAGTTGGACGCGAACGCGAAGCATGTTTTGGGGTAGTTGCATTTTTGTGCTTCATGAACGCGAGGCAATGGCCACGTTCGCGAAGAAGAAACCACTGGACAGAAACTTTAAGTTCGTCCCATTTTCCATTTTTAAATATTTGGAGCTCGGATTGAGGCGAATTTTGGGAGATTTTCAAATAAAACAACGGGATAAGTTTTCTTAACTCAATATTGATTAAATTATCCGAATTCATGATTGTTTTTAACATTTAATGGGTGAATTAAGTTGGAAAGATTAAAAAATCCTCTTGGTTAATTTGAAGCTTTGAGGGTCGAGTTGATGTCGGAATTAAGTAAAATTGGTATGGCTAGACTCGTGATTAAATGAGCTTTCGAATTTTGTAACTTTTGTCGGGTTCCGAGACGTGGGCCCCACGGACGATGTTTGAACTAATTTCAGATTTTGTTGAAAAAATAGTATTTTCTTATGGAATTAAATCCAATACATTTTATTGACTGAATCGAATTATTTTTGGCTAGATTTGAGGCGTTTGGAGGTCAATTCAAGCAAGAAGGAGACTATGGAATATTGGCATAACTTCAAAAAGGTAAGTATCTTGCCTAACCTCGAGTGGGGAAAATACCACTTAGGCAATGAGTATTATGTGCACACTGTGTAATTGAAAATCATGTACGCGAGGTGACAAGTACGTACTTGGTTTATATGTGCAAATTTCATTATTTAAAATCCTTAGACGCCTGTCACGACCCAAAATTCCAACTTGTCGTGATGGCGCCTATCTCGATACTAGACAAGCCGATAATATCAATAAACCACAAATTCTCGTTAAGTTTGAATTTATAATATTTAAATATAATACAAAATCTCACAAATACTGATACGAACACTTTCCAAAACCTGGTGTCACTGAGTACACGAGCATCTAATATGGAAACAAGTCAAAAGAAAATGGTTTATAATAGTCTAAAACCAAATACAGTAAACAAGGAGATAGGGAAGGAGAGACAAAGTCTGCGAAATATGGCAGCTACCTCTGAATCTTCGAAAAATTAACTGTGCGAGAGAATCAACACCCGGTATGTCCAAAAGTACCTGGATCTGCACACAAAGTGCAGGGTGTAGTATGAGTACAACCAACTCAGCAAGTAACAATAATAAATAAGAAATTGAAGATAGTGACGAGCTACACGGTTATAGTTCATTTTCAATAATTCCAACAGAAAATAGACATGCTTTCAAATCCAGCAGTTTAAGTCAAATAAATTTATACAGTTCAAGTTCATGTAATCCGGA